GAGCACGGGCGGGGTCCACAAACTCCCAACCAGCCTGCTTGCACCAGTAAAACATGTCCGAAAGGGGGCTATGGGTGACTTGATGCCATCGTCCTGGAGGGGGTGGGGCGTCAAATCGTTCCTTGGCCAGGCTGAAAGCTTCCCTGAGTTCTCGCGCCATGAGGTTGTCTTTAGCAGAGAGCAGCGGGCCCGCGGCAGACCACCACTCGGCGCAATACCTGCGGCGCGAGGCTCCAGCGTGAGAAATCGGGTCTCTGCTGGGGACCTAGCACCAACACTCATCCCCCAGAGTCCAACACTGTTGGCCATCTGGAGGCGCAGGGCTCTGAGCTCAGTGGGGGAGTGTCCTTGGACCTCCTCCCTGTAGGTGAGGCTGGGCTTGATTCCGCAGACAAAAATCTTACCTTTCTTGACCGTGGCTCTTCTGAGTTTCTCGACCAGGATCAGCCTTCGCAGGCCTTTGTTCCGCCGCGACTTGTTTTGGGCTCGGGCGCCCTTGGAACTCCTGGATTTCCCTACGGTAACATCAACTCCGAGATTGACAGCATGCCCAACAACAGTATGACCATAAACTCCTAGCGCGGTGGGCGCCAGCTTGGCCACTTCACTGGAGTTCGTCGTGAACTGCATTTTCTTTGAAGCAACCGGGAGCTCCAACCTGTTGGTGAGCTGGTCGAAGACTAGGCCCGCCAGGGTGGCCAACGAGTTCAAACAGCTCATGGCCGTCGGCATGGCCACCGTCGTGGTGATGTCATCAATGTGAATGGTGAGGTCCTCGTCTTCTCCTAATTTGATCTCTCGGGTCGAGGGGGGGGGGGGGGGCATGTATGATTTGATTGCATACGTGGCCGTGGAGGAGCCTGCCACGATGCCGCGCGTGGGTTCTATCTCGCCACTAAGAGCCGAGTCCATCAGTAAACGACGAGGCCAGCGATAACTGTTGATAGTAAACCGAAAAACGTGGAGGGGAAACCAACAGTCCTTCGACTCACTCCAGGGCAAATTGCGCCGTGCCTCACATGTTCATAGCACTGTTTGAGGTCCGCAAGCAGGACCCCAACAAATTTGCCTTGATTGTGGCGGAGGTCATTTCGCACAGCCTGGCGCCAAACTGCGTCCGTGGTCGACCTGTGCGGCGCCATATTGAAGACTGGGCCGGCCGCGCAGCGAGACTCCCATCTCCTGCAGTCGTTGGCCAGGCCCTTGGAGTAAAGTCTGGTGGTGGACTGGTAGAATCCTATAGGCCGTCTTCCTTCAAGTGGCTTCCTGTAGAGAGCAACGATGAGATGACGGAGCCCCCCAGGACTGTTGCCGAGGATGGTCATACAGGTAAAAATCCCCGACAGGACACTGAGTCCTTCATCCCCAATGAGGGCAAAATGGCGGGGATGAAATCCGTCAATGGCGATGGTCGCCGTTTTGAAAGTCCTCGACAGGCTCCTTATCTCTTCAACATCGGGCCCTGGGGGAATGTCCAAATCTTTTTCTTCGTCACTGATCAATGGGCTGCTCTGGCTCGCCCCCCACGCCTCTTTCCAGATACTAATATGGTGGCTGAAACAATTGAAAAAGGAGGCGGTGGGGTTGCCCGCATGATCTTTAACAAGATCTCCCTTAAACTCACTGGCAAGCCTGGTAAACTGGCGGGCCCGCGAGGCACCTCCAGCTAGACCTTCTCCACACCACTTAGCCCAATCCTCCCCCTGCTGAGTGCGTTCTTTGGCGAGGCAGTGGGTTTCCAGCTCCGACAGTTGGGCAATGGCCCAGTCGACGTTGCTGAAATCCCAATCCCCCCCGCCCCAGCTCCAGCAGGGGGCCCAGATCGGGCCAAGGGCGCGCGCAATAATAGTGCGCGCAAACTCTCTGCCGCGAGGCCAAAATCTGGTGAAAGGGCATCCTTTTCTTGCGAATTCCCCTGGTGTGCCGAGCGAGGAGGCACGTGCCCATCGCGCGCCTTCTCTCCGCATTCGCGAGGAGGGACCGAAGCTCAGTTAATCTTCGCACCAGCCATCCGACGCAACGGGCCTCCGACCTCCTGGGGTTGTCCTTGGTGATCAAGAGGGCCCTGAGATCAACCTGGCTAACTTCATAGGGAAGGCCCCCCTCTCTGCCCGAGGTGGGGGGGCATGGAAAACCTGCTTGAGCCCCCCCCCAGGCCTTGGAGCACCACTCCGAGTACACCTGGTTGAGGGTTGATTCGAGCTCAGCTTTCTCCAAGCGGGTGGGGGTACGGTACCTGTCCCCTTTGGAGAAGGGCGCAGCAGCAGCAGCAATTTTATCTTGGAGGTCCTGATAGGAAGGTGGGGGTGGCACTGGTCCAACTGGGAGCTGGACTGGAAGTTTCTGGTACGCCTCAAGACGTTCCACCTGTAAAAAGCACGCCTCCGCTGTTAAATGCAAATCCATTGGCTTGCGCGGGAAAACACCACCTGCAAGATCAGCCTTGATGGAGAGGAAGGCTTTGACAAGTATCCTGCTGAGTATGAAGAAATCGACAGTACGGTGCGAGTCTTCAACGGGACAGGCGTGGACGCTCGGGTCGAAGATTGCCTCTCCTCCAAAGCGCTCTGGCTCGCAAGCAATACTAACCTCTCCAGGCGCCATGTTGGAATCTCCACCGGCCACGAACGGTAGCCCTCGGATAAGAACATGCTCTCCCAGCCGATGACAGAGATCAAGATTACCCTTCCCCAAGCCAGCTCCTGAGATCCAGTAGTTGGCGTAAATCGAGAAGACTCCCAAACTCTGAGTGCGGCAATACGCGTGGAGGACCCTCCCTGGGGCCACGATCCCTCGTCCCGTTTCTTGCCACAAATGAAAATAGCTTCTGCACAGAATGGCAACACCTCCCGACTGGTGCCCCTTGGCGGTAGTCAGGGCGGGGGCCCAAAAACTGCCCCAACCAGACTTCAACGCAGTTTTGCTGGCAGCGCCTATCTTGTCCTGGCTGGGCCTATGCTCCTGGACTAGGACAATATGGGCGCGAGACTGTTTCAGGTGGTCCAGGGCCCTGGTCCAGCCTGAAGAATTGACAATACTAAAGTGAAGCGAGGGGCCACCTGAGACTGGGTGAGGAGGGTCGGGAGGCCGACAGGTGGGAGGAGTCTCATGGTGGGCCCAACTGGTGGATGGGTTACCCATCCTTCTTGGCCGGCAAACGGCTTCCCTCTCCCCTGGACGCATCACCCTTGGGGCCTCGCTTCGTAGCCTGGGCCTCTGCAAGGGGCTTCCTGTGGGGGCTGCGGGAGGCCTCAGAGCGGGCACGGCCAGCTCGATCTCCTGCACCTCCTCCCGCATCGCCATGTCCTGCGTCTGCACATTGAGCATCGGCTGCTGGTGGCTCTGCTAGGACGGGCACGTCTGCTGCATCTGATGGAAGTGGACCGAAGAGCGGCCCCAATAACTGCATGGCATTGTTGATGTGGCTCTCATCAAAACCAGAAATAGACGCCGCCCGTGTGGCGAGGACAGCTTGCAGCTCGTCGGGGGTGAGCGCGAAGACCTGCTTGGGCGAGGGCTTGGGAGACGAAGGCCGACCTCCCGACTCACTAGCTGCCGCCACAGCCGATTTGTGTACAGCCATCTCCATGTTAACCTCCTGAAGCTTGCGCTTGGCGTCAGCCAGGCTCTGCTTCGCAATATCCAACTCCCGTTCTTGCTCACGTAAGTGTGCTGCTGCATTCTGGACTTTGACTTCGAGCATGCCCACCGTCTTGGCGTGGCTCTCGACCTGTTTCTCGAACTTGGGCATTTTTCCGCTGGCCAGGAGGAGTCTCTGGCTGGCGGACTTTGCATTGTCTCGCTCTTCTCGGAGTGCCTGGAGCTTGCGTTGAAGGGCCTTGGCTGCCTCTCCCTCGGCTCCATCTTCCCCTTTGGCGAGCGTGTCATAGGCATGCTGGAGTACTTGGATATGATGTCCAATGTTCCCAACGTTGTGCTTATTCTCCTTGTCTGGGCTGGAAAGGTCCATGGCGCTGGGTTCGTCAGATACGCCAAGTTTGAAGGGATTAGAAGCCACGGAATTAGTATAGTCATCCCTGCCAGGAGATACAGCACGCGCATCACGACCTTCTGCTTGTGCCTGTCCTCCTTTTTTGCATTGGCCTTTCTTGCCCTTTTTGTTTGCCATTACCTTTGTCTGCGCCTTGCGGTCCGTTCCCTCGGAGGCTACCACCAGCGCCTCCGTGTGGGTGCGACCATCCCGTAGCCGTCTTTGTCGAATGGGAAACACAGCGCCAGCACCAATTGAGATTGCGACTGGTACTGGCTTTGCACTCGCTCCACTCCCAGGAGAAATCTCTTGGGGCTCCATTTGTCCCCTGTTTGCCCATGGCCCAATATGGTGAGGCGAACGCTGTATCACGATGTGCGGTATCGTGTATGATGCTGCTCTCTCGCGCTGGCTTGGCCAGCCGAGAGGAAAAGAAATGGAAGGGGCCCCTGGCTGGGCAGCGGTCTGGGGGGCCCGAAAGGCTTGGTCTCTGAAACCACCTCGAGAAAATGGTTACTTGAGCCAAAATGGCTACGGACCCTCCTCCTCCTCCTCCTCCTCCTCCTCCTCCTCCTCCTCCTCCTCATCCTCCTCCTCCTCCTCCTCCTCCTCCTCCTCCTCCTCCTCCTCCTCCTCCTCCTCCTCCCCCCCGCGTCGCCGAAGCTGAGGGCGGGTTGATACCAGGATCCACCCTCCCTACACTCGACGATCGGGGCCACTAAAGGGCCCTAAAGCCGTCCAGGGAGCAGCAACTTGCAACAGCCGGCGCTCCCATCGCGCGCTCCCACGCTCCGCCTTCAGTAGGGCGCTGGCCAGAACGCGGGCACAGCCCTCTTTCCGCCCACGAGCGGCACTACTCAGAGGGCGGCCATCGGGGCACGTCCTCCTCAATCTTAGTCTGCAGGTCCTGTGGGGAACACGACACGTGCCCTGACCGAGGCCATGGATGTTTGATGCCCTGCCCGCCTAATGCCTAATTTGCGTAGGGGCCCTTTAAAAGCATGATGTTGTTTTGTTTCACTGCCAGCGGACCACAATCCACGAGTCTATCTCAAACTTGCTGACACAAGTAATGCCACCCTGTCCTGCACGGCTCGGAACAAGCACCGCATCAGGCGTCAGTTTGCCTATCCTCAGCGGACTCGGACGAATCACCGTCAGAGTCAGAACTGCCTTCAAAATCACTGCATTTTTGAATTTGGTGCGAGTCGGGAATGTAACTGACAGCATGAGGCTTGTGCCCCCAACCACCATCTGTCTTGAATAACAGGGCATCACGGTTGAGGGCATGTAGCGCACCACAAAAATACAACAACCCAAGCACAAACAGAAAACTCACCCCGATGGTGGGCCAAGAGCTTGCTTTCGTCCGGGTGCCCTCTTGCCCCAGATCTGCCATGAACGTGTCCAGAGACGCCACGAGCTGCGCTTGAGACCACCAGGTAATGAAGTCTACAAGCCAATAGTTCATCAAGCACAATGCGTTTTTCCTCGGGCGCCACTTACCCATGGTATAAAAGTTATTGTCATGCGTGCCAGCTGCAAGGAGGCAGGCAAACGCCAAACAAACGAGCAGCCAAACGAAGAACAGGAAGAAGCCACACGCGTGGGATGTGGCCCCACCGAGTGAAGTGTAAAGCCATTCCCATCCAAGGGAAACCGTTGCGTACGCCCATGTGTAGACGACCACGTACTGTTGGACCATAAGGCTTGACTGCGTGAAAGGGCTTTTCTCAAGCAGTGGGTTAGTCATCTGATTCGGCAGCGTCGAAGACAACAGGAACCAGCAGACGCCCGTCAAAAACAAAACAAACAAAAACAACTGAATTTGCGTCATCACTCGCAGAGGACGGTGAATGGGGCCCGCCAGTGTCATGTTCAGGATGAACGCCGCAAAATGCAGGGTCTTCCCTGCACCCGAAAGAAAAGCCAGGTAGAAGCTTTGCAAATAAAACGTTGACCACTTCGCGTCTGGATGGGCGGCATCGGGAAGCGACCGCGCAAGCGATGCCAGAAGTAAAGTTACCAAAAATAGGAATTGGAACATAACTGTGTTGAGGATGAATGCGAGACAGGCTTGACCGTGGTTCACGCGCATTGGATCCCAACCAACCTTGTCGTAAAGGGCATGAAGATAGGCTGGCAACAAGTCCACCATTGGCACCCTCAGAAACCACGGCAGCCCTAGAAGCATGGTGCTGTAGACCGTCTGCATGGCGCTTCCATCTGGAGCTCTCCGATAGAACCAGAGCCCCACGAGCCGGAGCACCGAGATCAGGAAGATACAGATGAGCATCCGCGCCTGCCCCTGTGCCACGGGCCCGGCATAAGGCCCCAGCGCCTGAATCGCCAGCCCGCCCCCGAGGGACCCTATCGTCGCCGCCATGGCCATCATGCTGACGTTGTCATTGAAGTACTCGACGAAGTTGGAGAAGAGGCTCGGGATCTCGGGATCCATCTGGACTGCGGTCCCCATGAGGATTTGGGAGGGGGGAGGGACCATGGGGGCCGCCTGTCCCTTGGCTGCGGGAAACGGGGCGCCGCAGAGGCTTGAGCCAAAATGGCTACGGAGGGGACACTTTAAAAGCATGATTGATTCTCATCTGGGTCGCTGGCTGCAGCCTGGCAGCCTCGACGACGACGACAACGACGACGACGAACCAGGAATGTGCTGTAGTCGCTCCCTTCCCAGTGGGGCGACGCGACTCCACCGCGGACATTTCTTATCTTAATCGTTTGGTCGCACTAGGGATGGCCAGCCCGGGCCATGAGCGACGAATTCGCATAGCAGCGGCAGCCGCGGGATGCATCCCTGTATCCCCACAGGACCTGGCACGCGACCATCGGCGAGGAACACAGCCCGTCGAAGACTCCACGGGCGTCCTGGGCCAGCCACTTCCGCTTGGATGGGGCGGAAACAGCCCACACAATAGGACCACTGCAGCCCGCAACACCAGGCCGTCGCAGGGTCTCCTGGTTCGCTGGGGCGCGCCACGCCTACGAGGCGACACTGCGCAACGCCCTGAAGGCGTTCTGCTCTCGCCCGCGCGGCCGAAGCCGCGGAAGTCGGCCAGGAGGCGCCAGCACCTGGCCACGATGCGGGCCAGCAGGCTGGCCGCAGAACAGGCCGGTGCGGTGGAGTAGCTTCGGAACCTCCCCAGCCTGCGGGGCGCGACGGCCTTCGGGCTCGCGCCGTCCTCCGCCTCCTGGCCCCTGCTCCTCCTCTTCCTCCTCCTCCTCCTCCTCCTCCTCCTCCTCCTCCTCCTCCTCCTCCCTCCCTCCTCCCTCCTCCTCCTCCTCCCTCCTCCTCCTCCTCCTCCTCCTGCTCCTCCTCCCCCTCCTCCTCCTCCTCCTGCTCCTCCTCCCCCTCCTCTTCCTCCTCCTCCTCCTCCTCCCTCCTCTCGGCGTGCCGGCCTGGCGAGCGAGAGAAGGCAGGTCTCCTCAGAAGGCGGCGGGGCTTCTCGGAAGCCCCATGGCCTTCTGAGAGGCAGGCTCGGGGGGCTTCTCAGAAGGCCCGAGGCCTGTCGAGCTGTCTGAGAAGGCCTGCGCCCTTCCTCCGCGCTTTTGCCGCCGATCCGATCCTCCTCCTCCTCACTCCTCACTCTGGAGTAGCGCGCAGTAGGCACATACGATAAGAAATCTTCCCGTAAGAAACCTACGCGCGCACCCTTCGCCGGCCCTGAGCTTCGCGGGTTGCCCCAGGGCTGCGCGGGCTTATCTGGACACAGAGAAAATGACCGTGGGGCATCCCCGTTGGCAGGCCGACTTCTTGTTTAGCGGGCCCACTGCACCTCCCGGAGATCTCTGGACTCTGGAGGTCTCCCGAAGTCTCCAGATGCCTCCGGAGAGACTGCGGCGGCGGCGGCGGGCTCTGCGTGAAGACCGCGTGTCTGGCAGCGGCCCTCGTGGGGCATGCTCGCTCGGGGCCCCGGGCCCCCGGGAGCACGGCGGGCCATACCGCTCCAGAGAGGGAGCAGGGAGGAGGCCAGGCTTCCCCAGGAAGGCTACACCCGCGGACATCGACGATGCCCCGCACAGGTCCCGACGCAAGCACGCGACGGTCCCCCGCACTGTGCGGGAGGTCCGCGGCGAGGCGCGCAGCACGAGGGAAATCCGTCGCTTCGAATGTTGAGGGCACACATCCAGCTGACCCTCGCCGATTAATGTAGAGGAAGCAAGCTCTGATCACCTCCCCAAACCCCGCCAAGCCCAAACGCTGCAGCTTTTCCTCCCCGGCCTTAAATCAGTGGCCAAGCCACGCACTGCTCTCCAAGCAGCGCTTGCACTTACGAGTTCTCACTCCTCCTCTGAGGCACTGGGCCTGTCTGTCGGTCTGGCGGCTATGTTCCAGCCGTCGCCGCCTCGTCGCCGCCTCGTCGCCGCCCGTCGTCAGGGCCTGTCTGTCGGTCTGGCGGCTATGTTGCCGCCGTCGCCGCCCCGTCGCCGTCCGTCGCCTGGGCCTGGGTGGCGGTCTGGCGGCTATGTTGCCGCCGTCGCCGTCCCGTCGTTGACTCGTCGCCGCACACACAGATCCTTTCTAAAGAAGAATTTGGATCCACCGCCCTCCCGAAGCCAGATTTCCCACTACCCCGTGGGGATGTAGAATTTACGTACGATCCTGCCCCATCGTCCATCCGAAATTTGAAACCATCCCAAGCAGGCTGGAATTCGCACCGCCCCCTTTTCATCCTCTGCAAACAATAATATGCGCGCAGAGTTGTTTATCCAACAGATTCCATGTTCGAAAACCTTTTTTTTACAACAAACGGGACGAAGTGCACACGCGAGCGCCGTCGCGCGCGCATGCCGAAACCGTCCAAAAACCTGGGGGTTGCTTATACAAATCGAATTCGAGTGCCCCGAAAACATCTAAAACCACGTGTGTTCGAAACAAGAGCTTTCAACATACAACCAAAAACAAAACACACATACAAAAAACATGCGCCAACGCTCTTGCGAATTCGTCCGAAAACCGCATGTTTCCAACATTGTCATAATATGTTACCAATCGGACCTCTCGCGCGCGCATGTCGAAATCGTTTGAACGCCCGTGCAAGCGTGCTGTCGCAAAAATCCCACGCTAACCCCTTGCGCGCGTGCTGGGGGGCGGCACGCCCGTGTCAAATAATACCACTCGGGCCACTTTTGCGAGTCGGCCGGGCGCGCATGTCGACCTCCTTCGAAAACCTTCCTCGCCGACGCGAAGACATCCTCATCGTTGTCGGCGGCCGCGAGCATTATCGTCGCCGTCATTTGCCTTGCCGTCGTCATCGCCACCATCGTCACCGCCATCGCTATTTTATCTTCGTGTCTACCGTTGTCCAGCGGTTAGCGCCACCGCGGCCACGTCGGTCGCGCCAAACTACCTGGCCGCTGTGCGCGGGAGCATGCGCGGGCTAGCGAGGCCGCAAAGACGCACCAGGCAACGCCAAGCACTCATCGCAATCGCCGCCACAAGGGCTTTGCAAATCAAGTTGCGGGTGGGTGGGTGAGAAGTTAGCAATGGCATGCATGTGTCAACTCGCCTGTAACATCAAGAAGAGTATTAGGATCTGCCCCGAACCTTTTCGTATTGCAACGAACGTACGATTATGCCCCACCGTCCATCCCAAATATGAACTCAGACCATCCCAAGCAGGGCGGTAAAGGTTCCCCGCCTCACCCCCCGCTGAAAATAATACTCGCGCACTACCGTTTATCAAAAATCACCTGTGTTCAAACATCCTTTGCAGCAGCCGCGACGAAGTGCACACGCGCGCGTCGTCGCGCGCGCACGCCGACATCGTTCAAACAAACCTTGGATGTCCTAAGGGTGTCAAAACCGAGCGTCCGGAAAAACGAGCCAAAGCAACGCATGGTGTCGCAGCAAAAAATGCATTAAAAACCTCCACTTCTTCACCAACAAAAGCATGGTTATGCAACATTACGTTTTGAAAAAAAAGTCTGCGCTCGCGGTCTTGCAGATTCTTGAAACAACCATCGGCTCTTCAGCACGTCCATCGCGTTCTGCCAAGCGGGCCATTCGCGCCGCCTGCCGAACTCAGTCGAAAGCCATTGCGCGCGTGCTTGGGGGGGAACACGATCCGTGCCAAACAAATAACATAACGCGGAAAACTCGCGCGCGTCGGCCGCGCGCGCATGTCGAACTCTCCAAAACCTTCACCGCCGACGGGAGGATATCGTCATCGGTGTCGGCGGGCGCGATCCACATCGGCGCCGTAATTGGCCATGCCGTCGTCATCGCCACCATCGTCACCATCACCGCTACTGTCATAATCGTGTCGTCTACCCTTGTCGGCGTCGCCTCGATACCAGGCCCGCCCAACTCACCGACTCGCACTGAAGCGCCCGCTTGGAAGTGCCCAACGATCAACACCACCGCGGCCGCGTCAGTCGCGCCAAACTAGCTGGCCGCTGTGCGCGCGAGCATGCGCGGGCTAGCGCGGTCGCAGAGACGCACCAGGCAACGCCAAGCACTCATCGCAATCGCCAACGCATGGGTTTTGCAAACCAAGTTGCGGGTGGGTGGTGGGATGTTTGCAATAGCAAGGAATGTGCCAACTCGTGTTTATGAAAATCAATGGCGCCGCAAAGGTTGCAAAACATAACACTCTAGAAACACACCGTTTGGGGCCCACGCTGGCTGACATGAGAGGTGCAAAGCAGGAGTGGTACCGCACTGCAGGGAAGAAGCAAAAGGAAAATGACAATGACAATGACGACGACGACGACGACGAGTCTTCACTAGTCGGACGATAGACATTTGCTCCACAACTATCCGATGGGCCAGAGAGCACGTCTTCATCTATGCCCTACCCCCCCGCCACCCATAAACCAGATGGCCGCTTCGCCCTCGGACTGCTTCGCCCGAACCACTTGCCCCCAGACTGTTTCGCCCCAGACCGCTTCGCCCCGCACCGCTTCGCCCTGCACCGCTTCGCCCCGCTGGCCACTTGTTTAAGGCCCGCCCGCCCGACCCGCCCGTCGGGCCCCGCCGCCCCGACCCGCCCGTGAGGGTCCGCCCGCCCGCCCGCCCACTTGCAATCGCAGCCGCCCGCTTTATGTCCCGCCCGCCCGACCCGCTCGTTCGGGCCCGCCCGCCCAACCCGCCCGTCAGCATCTCGACCCGGCACGCCGGCGAAGCGCTCAGCTTGCGAAGAGGTCCGCCGGCGGAGCGGAGCGGCCCGCCAGCGAAGTGGTCCCCAGCGCAGCGGTCCCTGGCGAAGCGGCTCCCGGCGAAGAGGTCCGCGAAGCGGTCTGGTGCCGCCCATCGTCGGGGGCCTCAGGAATGGCACGGATCGAGCGATGATCTCCAATGCTCGACCGCTCGCCAAGTGGGGCGGTCCTCCGAGGTCTTCGGAAGTCTCTGGAGAAGGAAGAGGAAGGGCGAGGAGGATACGAATGAGGAGGAGGAGGATGAGGAGGAGGAGGAGGAGGAGGAGGCACGGCTGCACATCCGTGGATCAAACGGCCTCCTCATGTGTAAGGCTGCATAGGGTGGTGGTGGTGGTTTGTGGTGGTGAAGCCATTGGGGGGAAGCTGACGTCTGAAATCTCCACAACGTGGGCGCCCCCAGGAACTAGATGGAGGCGAAAGGGGAAACGGCTTAGGAGGAAGGCAGGAGGAACGAGGACAGCGACGACGACGACAACGACGAGGACGACAACCACGACCACGACCACGACCACGACCACGACCACGTCCACGACAACGACGACGACCACG